GGGAGTCGCTTTAATCTTAGTAGTCAAAAGAAATTCAACTGAGTATTGAATAGGTCTGCAAAGTTTTCCAGCTATTCTTGTGAGTAGCTGTAATTCTGTTGAGTATCACACAATTCTAATTAATAATCTAGCGCCAGTAAAGCGCTAACACTAATGAACGGCTTCCAATAATCGCGGAGTTATCGATTGGAGTTAACAGGACAGTAACTGTGTCTCCATTTCGAGACGATCGGGCAACCTGATCATTACTCACAAATCAAAGTGGTTGAGCGTTCACATATGATAATTCGGTCGTGCCTAACGTGAGGTCAGTGACGCAGTGGTCAACACGATTGCCTCATGAACAGCTTGGCCGTGGTTCAAGCCACGGCAGTGGCGATGATATGCACTACTGACGAGCTCTTACGAGAGCGAAACTCGAGTCTAGTGCTTCTTTTCGAAAGGGGCCGACTGGAAAGTCTATGGGGATGCGACAGCTGCGATCAATTGTGGGTGATGTTCAATCGATATGAAAATCAAAATCCCCTACTACTCATCAGGAAGATCTTCATCTTGGGTACGTCCATTGTTGATGTTCCTTTGACCACTATGCGTAGCCAGTCTCAGTCATGCTAAGCATGCGCCCTCTGAATTTGCCTGTAAGTTTTTCTTGTCATTCGATTTTCTCTGTCTCTCGTGGTATCAACGTCTGTGCAACAGACCATACCAACAAGTAGTGGGCCTGTCATTTGGATTCGTAAAACTGGAAGCGGATTTTGTTGTCATCCCGGAATGCCAATTCTGTCAGAACGACCAATTCGGGAAGGGTCGCAAGAATAACCGACTCCTATTTATGCGTGCGATTAGTAGACGTATCCGTTTACCGAGCTAGCACCTCAGCCAAAAGTTACAGCCAGCGCATGGAGGCCTAACCGGTTCTCCCAACTGAGCTATGAATGGAACGAATCTTGGAGGGTAAAGATTCAAAAAATGTCGATGAATTTAGAGACGGTCATAAGGACGTGCAAATTTCTCCACTTAACAAGAGGATGGAAGCAAGACCAAAAATGGAACCAGTTTTCCTGAGGATAAATCCATCTCTTTGAGGTGTCATTCATCATGATCTATAAAGAAACGAGCTAGAACTAGATCTCATGACTGCACTTGACCTGAAATGGAAAGGATAATCTTCCTCCAGATCATCCAGCGTCACATCTTAATTAACTTCTAGAAGAATCCGTTTTCCCTATATTTTAGACCGACACGAGTCAGTTCTATGTGCAATCCGCGCATTCTCCACTAAATGTAACTGTTTAACACCTCTGACATTTCCACGGTAGGACGTTCACTAACAGCCTCCTTGACACTGCTTAGAGTCATTGTTGCCTGTAAAGTTTCATCTCTTGAAAAATTTTATTTCCCGAAGTAACTGATATGGTGAAATGGAAAAGCATATGTAAACTTCGTCAAAAAGAGTGGAATACTTGTATGCTGTTGGACCTAAAAGGTGAGGTGTAAAGACTAAACCAAATCAGGACACAAAACCCAAAATGTCAAATTTTATTACTACTTACTACTAAGTTGCCGAATATTTTTGTTGGTTTGTAATGCACACCTCTCCACAAATAATCACTGCTTTTCTTTCCGGGTAAATCCTTTTGCCTGACGATGTCAGAAAAACCCATTGTACGTTTCTGTGTCGCAGCTTCATACTTTCGCACTGTTTTGTCATGCGGCCATGTTTTTCAGACCATGGTTAGCGTTTTTAGCCGTTAGCTGAAAATTGGCTACCTACCAGACTGATATAACACCGCGGTTGCTCAGCGCTTTAGACAAATGGGCCACAGCAAGCGCACCGAATAGGACAATATAATGCATATGGAAACGAGCATGAGCACAAATTTTAGTCGTCAGTTATGACTGACATGAAGTTCACGCCACAAAATTCTCTTTCGTCGAAAACAGCTACGTAAATGCAGTTTTACTTACCCATCGTTAAGACAAGAACGTTCACAGAGTAACCACATGTGAAACTGAATGTTTGAGAGAAAGTTTATCACTTTTCTCTCAAGCTAATTTTAAGCCGAGAACAAACTTGGTATCTGTTTAGTCAAAGATCATGTCAAGAGACCTGTCCGGGGAGGAAACTGAAGATTCATGTATCATGCGGTAAAACAGCATTGGTGGTTTGACGTTTGCTTCCTGCCCCACTATGTGTGAACGTCAAAGTCCTTGGCTAAAACTACTTATTAAATTTTGCACGTGGTATCCTAAACCCACCTGAGATAGAGTGGTTAGTTATTACTCCAGAACGCTGGATTATCGTCCAAGTGACTTGACCTCATGGTCAGTGTTTCTGTACGTCTTTGTGAGCATACGGTGACCTGGCACAGCTCTTATTAGACATGACAAATGTGTCCAGATTACCTGAGGTTAAGAAGCATATCACACTAGAACAAAGCTTGCCAACGTGGAACAATGATTTTTAAATTAACCTTGAATCACAAATTAGGCCGCTGTTACTCACTGTTGTTGTGCTCGATAAATTTTGGTCACCAGTGGCTACTTTGGTAATCCTACCTATCTGTCAGCTGGATCTCGTGAACTGCGTCTGCCTTCAGGGTTAACATCAGAACTTTTGTTCTACCGGTACTAAGTACTGTTTCAGTTGGTGTTTGGACTTCATTGAAAACTGAAGTTAGATGCGTACATACAAAAACCAAACGTTCCACTGGAAGATGCACAAATCTAGTCTGGTGTCAGTCAACTAAACCTTTCGCTTTTCATCTACCGGTTTGAGTATTCGCAATGTTTACGGGGGTAAAAATGGATTTGGAATGCATTAAAGAAGGATTTCTTTCCACATCTTTGAGCACAGTCTGCCTAGAGGTTTCCATTTTTATTCTCGCATAGGGTGACACAATTAGTTAACAATTGGAAAATCTGCGTAATCATACACTGTTACTCGGTTGAATGTGTTTAGCAAACGAAACAAAAATCTCACGCAAATTTTTCTGTGTCAACATCATGAATCAAAATAGTGAATTGTTGCCATATAAGTCGCCTATCCGGACTTACTATCCTTGAACGTCTGGAAATAGTACACTGAGGCTGAACCCTAAAACAAAACATCGCATGCCTTTCATAATGGGCGCTCATGTGTCTCACATCGGTTAACTGCTCGTGATTAGTGGGAAAGCTTTGAACAATGGACTGCCCATTACTTCAATATATCTTGACATCCCTAAAGTGTTCAACAGATTCGATTACATATACCTAGCTGAATAAAGAATAATCTACCCGGTTACAGAACCATCAGACAGACGAAAGGCAGGTTGTATGATCAGTTTTCCGCAAGGGGCGATTTTTCGTAAGAGTCTATCTTAAATCCTCCGTTGTTCTTTCTGTTCCTCCCCGATTTATCCAGTGTCTTCAAATCACTAGAATCTCTCCACTTCGATGACACGCAAAAATGGCGAGTCACATGATCAGCAGGATGTGAATACATGCGGACTCGAATAAAATTTGATTATGTACTAGTCCATAAAGAAATGTTCACCGTTCTATGCTGCCTATCGCATAGTTACCCGTCAGTAAATTTGGTTATCATCCAGATAGTAACAAGTTGTTCTCCAAATGTAAATAAGTTTGGGTGTACTAGTAAAAGGTAACCTGCGTTTATTTGGAAAGGAAGCACAAGTGATACTGTGGTTACTGGGAAGAACCGTTCAGAAATGTTCTTCCGGAACGCATAGTTTCACTAAGTTCCCTCATATGGAAACAAACATACATATCCATGGCCCTTTTCCAAACAGTTGCAAACCTTACTGAAATCCTCCACAGATGGACTACTAAGATTGTCTTGATGTTCAGACAGAACCCTTACTCAGAAATGCTGATACAATTAGGTTAATTCTCGATGTATTCAACCACCCGAGAAATGGCTTAAGTCTAACATACAAAAGTGCACACACCCGCAACTACTCAACTGTTGACTTGTTTTCATCAACGCAAAACAAACGATTGCTGACCCTATTTCTTGAGCTTTAATTCCATTTGGGCAGTTTATTCTTCAGACACAACCTTTTACCCAAGGTCTTCCTATTCTGGGCAGCATTGTTTAGTCGATCTTCAAGTTAATCTACACAATATACTGTAAAACGTCATAATCTTTTGGCACATATGTATAAGTTCTTCTTGGATTAACCTCCACCAGTTTTTCAAGGCGATCATCTGTTGTATGTGGAGATCATTCACTAAAACTGCAACCCTGAGAGTCTCAGCAACGGTCCTAGCGTTTACAGAACATTACTGAGCTATTGGTTTTTCGTGTAAATTCATTGAAAACGGTCTGTGTGTTTCCATCTGATGATTTGACACCAGGTCTGAAGTTAAACATAGCATTCATGACGTCAGAAGTTGCATTTTGTAGTGCTTCACCACAAGGATAACTTATTCAGAGTATGTTCAACCTGAATGCCTTTCACGTGAAGAAGGTAAACCCAATCAGAATATATAAGATTACAACAAGTTAGCCAATTCTGTAGAGTAATGAAATCGAGGTCTTCGGACTAAGACACTGAGAAATGTGCGGAAAATTTCGGGATACAATACGTCTCATAATTAGACATGTCACATTTTCTGCATGTTTCTTATACACACAGACGAAGAAGCAGTTTCCGCACATATTCTACAGTAAAATACACGGTCATGATTCAGCACTGAAAGATAACTTTGATAAACTTTTTGAAGTTATCCTGCTCGATAGGTTTCCACACGTTTCAATCCAAGGGAGATTACGATGACCTACGCTGAAATATGACCCGTAATTCTTCTCCAGAACTGTTGTATCGTTTGCGCGTTGTTTCTGTGAAGGAGTGTGACTGCTAATTTGCAACGTCAAGCAAGGTTTCTTAAGGTGCATCGGTTAGTTTTGATCTTGAAATTCAAGTGACCAGTCTAGCTAGCGAATCACAAAGGCAGATTTAATGATTTATATGAGATCCAACTGTGAAAACTATAGGCTTCGGCTGGATTCGAACCAGCCGCAGAAACAATGAGCCCAAATACGGCAAGCGCTCTAACAGCTGAGCTACGAAGTCACACCGGGAGCTTAGAAATTTCATATTTGGACTCTGTTATCCACCCATCCCACTGTCTAGTATGGAATTCATTAAATGGTTCGGCAGCTCAAGACACTACCCACCAACGTCACTGCTGAGTAATGGAATTGTATTACTAATGAGTAGTTTGGCAGATTTGAAATGTTAGAAGAGACCCATTTGTGAACAATCAAGGTTTTAGATAGTTGTGAACAGTGGTGGTGTTGTTCGTAGCTTGTGTTGATGGTTTTGGTACTGGTATGTTCGCCGAGCTTGGCATTTAGGTTGCAAACGTTTCATCACCTAGCGAGGTGACATCATCAGTGCGCAATTGTTTTAGCGCATAGTTTTTGGGCGTGGAGATTGGTGAAGTTCGATGGATGCCTGCTAGTACATAGCAGAGTGAGTTGACCTTCTGACCTGAATTCTGGTTGGCCGCTCTCTGTTGTTTTTGACCTTTGACCTGATCTACCATTGGCTGATTTTTGTTGCATTTGAACTTTGACCTGATGTCTGATTGGCTATTTCCTGCAGTTCTTGAGTCTTTGATCTGCATTCTGATTGGGTGTTCCCTGTTTCTGTCGAACTTTGATCTCGAATCTGATTGGTTGGTCCCCATAAGTTGATCAAGTGAGTCCTTTCTTCGTTTTGAAGATTCCATCCGATTGGTTATTTATTGTCCCGCCCATTTAAATGTCGCTGAATACCGACGTCACTTTGAAATGCAGCTGTACGCCGGATTAGTTCGGCTAGCATACCATACCTTACGTACTTCTAACTCCGAAGGTATCATCTGTTTGGCGATATTTCGGTAGATAGATTCCATCTCTCTAAACTTGCGACTTGAAACTCCGTATAGCCTGATAATGAGAATACATGGTCAACTGCTTATGCACTTGCTTAAATTCGACGAAATTCAGTACATCAGAACCTGGACGCACATTCCATTTCGGATTGCCTTATTCCACGCTGGATTGAGATGTGCGTGTAGTAATGAAGCAGAGCGGTTTTTATTTGGTATAGCAATACTGTTCGTTTTCAATCACTACACCTTAGTTTGTGCTTCAAACCGTGTCTTCTATATTTCCAAATAGGCATGAATCATGTTATATTTGCGTAAACAAACGATTGATGTCCAAAAATACTGCGGTCGTATGATCATTCCAACATGGCGAACTAAATTTTGTCAGTCACCGATCTAAATGAACTCGTGGATTCAAAAGACAACGATTCGATAATTAGACCAGTGTTGAACAGAATGGAATTGTTTTCGTGTTCGGTTGCTTGCCGAGCTTCACGTTTAAGTTGTAACCTCAAAATAGAGTTGCCATTATCCGATATAACAGAACATATCTCGCGGTACAACAGACGGAATAAGAAAATATTGGAAGCGAAAGTTAATCCGTCTACCACACACACACACCAGCCGGCTTGCCATATACATAACCAACCACAAACTAACACAATGCATCGTCTGAGCACACCAGCTCACATTGACTCCGTAACTCATGCCGCTAAACTTCCACATTCTTTCAGGGTAGTCACATATGAAGTTTCTTGCAAGCCATCATCGAAATGCTCCTACAGGCACACTGCAAAGCCACACCACTCATTTCTGTGTGATAGAGCACTTTTCGTATGGTGTAGTTGAGAGTAGTGATTGTTTTATGGTTCATTACCACAATGGCATGGATACTATGTAGATTTTCTTATGCACAATTGCTACTTGTCATTTCTTATTTCATTATGTCTAGCAACTACCCTGATTTATATGACTAGTCAACGTGTGTGCCAGTAAGTTTCTCACGATGGTATCTAGTGCACTGACTCCCTAACCACGAAAAATCAATCACGGTGCTTGTTAAAGTATGGTACTTCATCTTCGTGTTTATTTTCGATAGATAGTTTGCGCAGGTGTATACAACATAGCCACTGAGCGCCAGAATTTAGAGTTGGTCGTTACAAACTACAGATGAAGATGTTTCTTGCTTTGGCTGACGGCCACGGATATAATTCGGAAACTCGTCTTTGAAGTACGTTTAACACAGTGAGCAAGATTTATCCACTTCGTCAGAATCCAAGGTTTAGACCGAAATGGTGTAGTAAGTAACGCCTAGTAAACTTATCGTATCCTCTTTAGAAATAGCTGTAACTCAGGTGACAAAATTTCGGTTTGTAGCTAACAGCGAACGGTAATTTGTGTTGTTCCTACTGTTCCATATGAAGTTCTTGTTTTACTTATACTGGTCTCAGTTCTGTCTTTGGCTTTCAACCTTCATCGATATAAAACGCAGCTTGATATTTTCACCTGTTCACCGCTCGAATCCCCTAAATGTATAATGTGACATGGGAATTACCTGATAAAATCTGATTTAGTTTTTAAACATTTCTCTGCTTGCTACCTGCAGCTTGTTTCAGTGACTTTTCATTGGGTAGACTCACATACCTATTCACTTCACAGTTCATGACGCAACCATTCGGCAATCTGTATTTTAAAATGTAAACTTGAAATGTTCTTTCAAAATGGAACATCACCTACACTTGATTGCAGGCTTCGCATTCTGGTAAGCATTCACTACTGATTCAAACCCTGCTCAGGTGGTTCAATGAAGACAGTAACTTCAGCCTAACTGAGAAGTCCTGATCACTGGGTTATCGACTGGATAGAACAGTGATTATATTCATTCTGTTTTTGAAATGATCGGGAAAGCTGGACACTATTCATACAAGGTTGTGGTTGTGCGTTTAGATGTAATTATTCGGACATGCTTATTGTGAGATTGCTGGCGTTGTAGCTAACATGTTAGTCTCACAAGCCTGAGGGGCAGAGTGGAAATTCCGACCCGGACAAGGATATGCACTACTGATGAACTCTAATAAGAGCGAAACTCGAGTCTAGTGCTTGCTTTCGAAGTGGGCCAGCCGAAAGTTTTATCTGAATGCGAAGGCTGCGATCAAATGTGGGTGATGTTCACTTTTGAAATAATATAAATCCCCGAACCTTCACTATTGAAATGTTCTGTTCATATAAGTGAGTATTTTATTTATAAACCTCTACTGTTTTGCTTGTTCACCATACATATTTTTTGGGATATTCCCTTCTCAGAAATGACCAATCAAGTGATTTCAAACGGTACTCGTGTATGGCCGACTGTCCCGTATTTTCCAGGACTGCTTCAGGAGTGTAATTCGTTGTCAGCACAACTGTCACGCGGTGTTGAGGTCAAAGAACATGACTGTTCCGATTTAACTGTAACGCACGGCAACAGGGATTTGACAGGTAGTCGAGAGGTATTTACGACCATGTCAGCGATGCGATGCAGACCACCCAAGCTATATCAAGTGTGTGACAGCGCGACATCCACAGATCAACCTGGCTTTAACTCTGATGATCCAGTACGAACTCAGTTCTCTGTTCCTGAGGTGACTAGAACAAAAATGACCGAGTTTTCAGGAAACTCGAACAGCTCTAATTCTCTTGAGCAACCTCATGGATCAGAACCTTTAGTGGCCCCTATTCCACCGGGTGCAACGTTGTTCCTTCCTATGCATATTCCACATCCCGACGAATTGTACCGATTTTTGACAGATCTCGGTAAGACCCGTTCACCAGTACAGAACTACAGTCGACAAGAGCCCATGCCAGATAAGATCACTTCCTTTACACAAGGCTACCTGAGTGCCGGTGGTACAACTGACCATACGCGATGGATATTCGAATACGCGGCAGCGGTTGCAACAGCAGCAACTGCAATGCTCGGAAAAGGTGACACTAACTCAAAATGTGAGACAACAAACCCAGTTGTCTGTTCGGATTAGTCCAAGTTATAAACCGGTGATCAGACAAGCGTGCTGCGCGTTTGTCACAAGAATCAACCAGAAGATATTAGGGCAAGAAACAAAGTTGGACGCTTTTACGAGCACAAGATTACGAGGGCTCTTTCACAAAATATAACAACTCGTGTGTTGTATATTTCTTGTCTCACTTCCAAGTAAATCACTATCATGCGCAAAGATAAGTTTTATCCTGACAAACTTGAATGAAAATTCTTTCAGTGCACTACGTGCATTTTATCTTTCCCGATATGAGTTTTTGGTTATACGCAAATTAACTATAGAACATTAAAAAACAGTCCTTTTTTTCTGAGTGGTTAACTTTGTCAATTGGGAATAATTCTCAACTTTAAAACGGTACTTGGGGGAAACTTCATTTAGTCCCATCACTTCAATTCCAAACTTGTTGGTCATATAGAATCTGATGTACGGTTCCAGTCTAGTTTTCTCATGTTTAATTGATGAAGTTATGAACAAAATTTGGAGTATAACTAACATTTTTGATGCTGATCACAGAACAGAAATATTTTTAGGAACTATCTTGGTTGCAAAAATTTCCTTAGTTGCCGATTTCTTTTGACCGATAGTCATTCACTGATTGTAAGTATCGAGTTCATATACATCCTAAAATCGTCAACTGGAATATAACAACTGGTTTCCTGCTACAACCGAAGTTTAGACGTAAACTTTCTTACTGCCCGAATCGACAAAGTTTCAGTTCGTAAATTTAGTGGTTAGATGGTTCGTGTACGACAGAAACCTGAAAGTACTTCAATAAATTTCAAGAACTGAACAAAGCTAGAACAATGCTAGTACTTTTGAACCATAAACGGAACGGATATGTGAAAGCATATTGTGCGTTGTGCTAATGTTCATTATTAAGTAATTCCGTGGTTAAGCCACAACGAGTTGTGTTCGAAGTTCAGTCATGTGAAAATCCCACCCAACCCTATTCCCCCAAAATGTTTATCCCTGTACATCCTACCTTGACCTAGATGTTCTTGTTTTATCGCGTTAATTGACAGTTGTGCGAATAGCTAGTTGCCGCCTTCTGTACTTTGCTTCAATGGTGCGTGCATCACCCTTTTTGGAGCTTGGCTCGTCCGCAGTATTTTTTGAACCTGTTGTCTGCCCGGAAGAACTTTGTTGGGTATGAAGGTCATATT